CCGCCGCCCCCTGCCCGCCGGCCGGCCGCGCACTCACTGCTGGCAGACGGCGGGCGCCTGGTGCTCGCGCTTCCTCTTGCCCCTGATCGTGAGTCTCCGCCTGCAACAAGCCGAAGCGTCAGGCGCGGCCGGGCTCGCATGCTAGGGCCGAGGCTGGCGGGCCTGAGCGCCGCCCGAGCCCGGACGGGCCACTCACCTTTCCGCCTTCGTCCTCTTCTGCGGAGGCCTAGGGACACAGAGGGCACAGGGAGTCAGGGGGCGCCGCGCGGGCTCCCGGCCGCCCTCCACCCCGCCCGCGTCCCGGCGCCGAGCCTGCAGTCGACGCTCCGGCCACAGGGGGGCGGCGTGGAGCGACAAGGGGCCGCCCTAGGCCCTGAACCCCGGCCTCCTGGCCTCGGGTCTGGGGCCTCTCGAGTGCTCGCTGTTGGTGCACTTTCTCCGTGCGCTGCTTGCCCTCCCTGGCAGGCTGCGCTGTGGGAGTTCCCTCCAGGACAGTAGGATGGGCAAGGCCAGGACGGGTGAGAGTTGCCGCTGGCTCAGGCTGCCCGCCAGGGTACAACCCCACCCTCCCTGGCAACAGAGAGGAATGGCAGGGGCGGTAAAGGGAGGTGAGCACAAGCCACATGGTCACCAGGCATGTCCCGGTTCTGTCCCCTGGGGCTGTGGCTGTTGGCCCAGAAGGGAGAAGAAAAGTGTCCCTGTTGCCTGGCACACTGGCGGGGGACAGGCCTTGGTCTTCCCTGGGAAGAGAGGCTGGCGACAGCAGCTGTGGGGCCAGCGAGGAGGCTGCCTGGGCTGGCCCGGCCCTCGGAGCGCGTCACACGCCTCCCTACTGGGCAGGTCAAGGGCACTCCTGGAAGCCCTCTCTGCTCGTCTCCTGAGCCCCACAGGGGGCCGTGAGGGCAGGTGCCGTGAAGGTGAAGGTCACCACCCGCCCTGTGCCCAGGAGGGGTCACCGGAGGACTGCTACCTGATTCCACGCAGGCTAGGAGGCAGCAGGTCGAGGCACAGCCCCCAGAGCCTGGGCTCTGGCTCAGAGGGGGCAGCCGGAGCCCTGGGCAGCAGGCAGTGCCAAGCCTCGGAGTGCTGGGGCTACGCAAGTGTGTGGTGATGGCCAGGCAGCGGCATCGCCAGGGCAGACTCAGGAGTCTGGATCCAAACCTCCTCACTCTCACTGGCTGGGGCAAAGCACCGCCTGGGCGTCCTCCCCTGCACGAGGGGCGGGGAGCCGGGGGCAGGGGCCTTGCCTGTCCTGCTCACCACTGTAGCCCAAGTGTCTGGGCCCGTGCCTAGCCTACAGTAGGCACCTACTGAACAAGTGCAAATAAACGAGAAAATGCTTTAGAAGGGCTCAGGAGCTGGGGCTGGGGCTCCGGCCTTCGGGGCTGGTGCGAGAAGAGCCCCTCAGCACCTTGCCTTCTCTCCAGGAGGCTGGGCCCGTGCCCGGGGCCCCGGCAGCGGGGCTGATCCTGCCAGAGCTGCTGGGTTAGGGAAGCGCAGGGTGGCAGGGGCTGCAACTTTAAAGAACCCACAGCGCCTGCTTCTCTTTTGTCTGTTCCCTACCGGAGCCCGGCCTCTTTCTGCCCCTCCGCCCAGCTCTCCCCTCCTGTGGGCATGCAGCCCGGCCCAGAGCCAGGCCCAGGCTTGCCGGATCTCTGCCTCGAGGGCCTCTTCTGGGCCTGGGCAGCTGTCTCCCATCTCGGAGGACAGTGGCGCTGTACACTGGTCTCCTTCAAGCCTGGAAAGGACCCAGGCTCCCTCTGCCCCAGGGCATCTTGGCAGCTGTACTGGGACCAGCTCCCCAAGCCAAGCAAAATGCAAGCAGGGAAGCAAATGGGCAGCCTCCAGCTCTGCCCCGCGGTCCAGCACTGATGAGGCTCCGAGATGCCCAGGGCCTGCCCCAGTGCCCATCCAGGACCCACCTGCACTCGCAGAGGTTGTGCTGTGAGAATGTCATCTGCACAAAGAAGGATTGGCGCCCTGGGGCGATCTTCAGGACCTGTGGGGGAGAAAGGGGTGACACGGGGTAAGGACTCGGGTGAGCAGGCTCCAGGCCGAGAAGCCGCTCCAGGCTCCGGAAGGAGAGGCCTGGGCTGAGAGTCCTGGACCCTGGCTGCCCTTTCCCGCTCTGAGTCCCTTCCGGTGGGAGCGCCCGTGCCAAGAGCAGGGCGAGGGGAGGAGCGGGTGGGGGAGCCCTACCTGCATGGTGACGTTCGTGGTCTCCACAGGCACACAGTGCAGCCGCTCATCGCTGCAGCAGCCGGTGCAGCGCTTCAGAGAGACGCAGGACGGGCTGAACAAGGACTGCACCTCGCCGGGGTACTCGGTCACGATGTCCACCAGCTTCTCCCGCGCTTGGCAGTAGCTGCGGCCCCATACCTCCGGGAAGGGCACCACTATGGGGAGGCAAGAAGACCTCAGAGACCCGGTTCAGCCCACACGCTGCTCCCCCCACGCCCAGCCTGTCTGCGCCCCTCTGCACAGCACCCCTCTGGGACGCCTGCTGGACCTCAGCTCTTCTACCCGGGGGTCAACCTCCAGGTCTGGAGAGTGCAGCCCTGTTCTCTACTCGGATACCTGCGTCTGCCCAAGGACCTGGCCCTGGCAGCTGCCCAGGCCCCGGGACCCTTCTCTGGCCTGATCTGGGGTTTCCCTGTCTCGGGAAACTTGCTGAAAATCGCTCCAGCGCCCTGCAGGAGGCTTGGCCTTCCCCTTTGCTCCCCGCCCCCAACTCTCGACTGTCCCTCCCGCATATCCCCACTTGGTGCCCACCCGCTGCCTTCAACCATGACCGTGGCCAGCCGCACCGCACGGTCCAGCCCTCCTCTCCGGAGGCCCGCAGGCTGTGCCTGGAGCCGGGGTGGTCACACTCACCTCTAGGCAGCATTGTTCCCTCTTTCCCTCCACCCCAGCCAAGCCCAGCCCCTGCTTCCTGAGGCACCTCCCTCTTCCCTGCAGCCTCCTCCAACAACTCCACCACTCAGGTGTCCCGTCGGGGTGCTGGTGCCCCCGGGGTCCACCTCCTCCCAGCATCACGGGTGGCTCTTATCTCCTGTGTAGCCATACTGAGGCTCTGGGAAGACAGGAACAAGACCCCAGTAAACACAGGCTGAGCGACTCCTGTCTGGCTGGGTGACACTTCAGCAGGGTTATCAGGGACGGCCTTGTAATGACAGGATCTTTCGGGCTGATCTGGAATCTCTCAGAAGATGCTACTCCCTCAGGGAAAGAAGGTCTGAGAGTGGGGCCCGAGGAGAGGTTCTCAGGGAGTGGCCCGAGGCGGACATCTGGTCTGGTCCTGGCGCTGCACTGGCTGTGTGGCCTTGGGAAGGTCACCTAACCTTTCTGGGTATATCAGTTTCCTCAGCTGGGGAAGAAGGAAGCTGGGGATAGATGGTTGCTAAGGCCTCTTCCGCTCCAAAGACTCGGATTCAGTGCACGAAACCCAGCCCGGGCCGGCCTGGAGACATCGCAGAGAAGCACCCCGGGCCCACATCCCACGGTCATCCTCCGCTACTGGGGGAGGACCGTGACCGGGGCGCCTGGGACGCAGCAGCCCTGGCACAGCACAGCCCTTCCGAGGAGGCAGATGGGGCCAGAGTCCATTCCACTGAGCCTCTGAGAACTGGAGTCTCAGCGTAATCTCAGAAAAATAAACTCCAGTCGTAGCAGAGGCCCTTGGGAGAGGCTGCAAGCTGGTGGAAAATACCCAGGAGGTGGTATGTCCATGTGGAGCTGGCGGGGCCGCCACTCAGGCAATAAACCGTGCTTATCTGTGTCTGCTTGCACCATCCCGGCCTGCTCCGCTTGTGGGGACTGGGCCTGGTCCAGGGCTGGAGAGGGGTCCAGAGGCCCCCTGACTCGGCTACCCTGTAGCCCGGGGCAAGGCTGTCTTTGCAATACAGGGTCAGAGAGCACCTTCCTATCGCCACTCTATGAGCTGTGTTTAGTCTAAAACCTTTGTGAGCACCACACCACTCTGAATGTTTAATCTCTGCTTCGGAAACATAAATAAGGACAGTGAATAGCCGGCGGACAAAGCACCACAGAAGGCGCAGCGCCTCGCAGGGACCAGCCTCCCGGGAGGGGAACGCCAGAAAGGAGCACCGCGGCCGCTCGAAGTCCCACAGACTCCCACCCAGCTGCGCTGCTGAGGCCGCGGCCAGGCGGAGTGGAGCGCCTGGGCCTTGGGACAGAAAGGACTTCCTTCCTCCGTCCCTGCACCCAGCACGTAAACTCTGCTTCCACAGGACCCAAGCTCAGGGCCCCCAAACCCTGACATGGGCCACACTCCAGCCCGGGTGGCCACGCAGTCCCAGAAGACGCTGGCCAGGGCCTGGTTTACCTGGCAGCCAGAGGAAAGAGGGTCTTTTCTCCTTGGAGGCCCCTGTCGGGCAGGAGGGAGAAACAAAGGAGGGTGGGGAGGGGCGCAGTGAGGGAGGCAGGGGCAGCGCTCAGCGGCGGGCAGAAGCCCCTCAGGAAAGAGCTCAGCTCGGCCGCTCGGGGTGCTTCCAGGGGCTCAGCGCCGCTGCAGCTCGGGGCGGGGGTGGTGGGAGGACGCCGAGGCTGCGGCTGGGTGTCCCCCGGGGCCCTGCTGGGCTCATAGCTCTCTTCCCGGCCTCATCTGTCCCAGCCGCCTTGCTACCCAGAACAGAGGAGACCGACAAGGGAGCCGCTGAGCCCTGAGAGTGCGGGAAGCCGCTGGGCTGGGGTGGGGCGGCAGGGCGGGCAGAGCCACTGGCCACCAGCCCTGGCCCAGCAGGTGTCCTCCTCACTGAGATGGCCCACGGCCAGCCCGCCAACACCTCTCTCTCACTCACTCACTCACGCCCGCTCAGCCTCGGGGCAGTTGGGAGCCTGCTGCCGAGCTGCCCATATACACTGGGGCCTGCCTGAGGCTTCAGGTGACCCAGGTCTTCTCTGAGCCAGGCAAGGTGAGGAATTCGAATTCCTCCCTCCTTCACAGCCTTGCGGTCAGCTGGAATGACCCCAAACGACCAAGGCTGCTACGGGAACAGCAACAGTGAAAAGCTTTTTCTGGGCCCGCCAGAACTCTTGCTCTGGTGTTAGCAGAAATTGGACTGCATTTTCAGATTCCAAAGCCCAGGGTGCTTCCCTGGAGCGCAGCTCTCCCCACTGACTATGGTGACAGGTAAGCCAACTTAATGAATTTACACCTCCAAGCCCCCTCATCCAAAATCCTGGGACATCGATACATCTGGGTCTCCTCAGTGTCAGACAATTGCATCATCATAGCAAAAGAAAGAGCCTTTGGAATCGGGTAGTCTAATGTTCCCATTCTATAGATGAAGAAACTGAGGCTCAATTATCTTTGGTCGCTATTGATGAACTGCTACAAGCATAAAGAAGGACCTGACCTGGAGGTGGATGACAGGCCACTCCCCAGAACCCGAGAACATAACACTGTACCAGTTCCAGAGGATAGCAAGGTGGGAGTCAGCGAGGTCAAGGGCAGCTACCTTCCCCACCTCTTTAGTGGCCACGGGGTCTGAGCCTCAAGCATCGGGGAACTTCCAGGCCCAGGCGGACAGGTAGGCGGCCCAGCCCGGCGCTCCCCGTGTGCGCATGCGCGCCCCGCAGCCCCTCTCCCGCGGGCCGTGGGAAGCCCGGGTGGTAGTAGTACTGCGTGGCCGCTCTGCACGTATCAGGGAGGCGGGGGGCGGAGCCAGGCGGGGGGCCTGCCTGCTGCACGTATGTCTCTTTGGCAAGTGTCTCCTTGCCCTTTGAAGATTCCCTCTTGATACAACCCAGGGCGGGGAGTGGAGGGGCCGGGCAGGGTGCGACTCATTTTCTGTCTGTTTGTAATCAATGGGGAGGTCTGGTCAGATCCCCGCAGCTCCCACAGGGCCGGGCAGCTGGGAGGCCCCTCACTCGCCCTGGTTCTCTAGACTGCTTGCCTGACACATCCAGCGCCCAGACCCTCGATCTGGGCCTGGCGCCCCCGCCCCCGCTGTCCTCAAGACCCGGTGCGCACCCTTCCAGCACGCGCAGAGGGCTCGGGCCAGCTGGACAGGCCCGGGCGACACCGCTGTGCGCTCTGTGCGGAGCAGCCCTGGTCCACGACTACCGCCCCTCGCTAGCCGCTGGGTCGCAGCAGGTGGATCCCGGCCCTGCCAACTTCGCCAGGCGGATGTCTAGATGGAGGCTCTCCCCAGACCATCAGCCTGCACCTACCCTGCATGCTGACCCCTGCCCATCCTCTGCTGGGACTTGGGAGGAAAGAAGAGAGGTGGCGCGCGTGGTGCCCCCGGCCCGGACGGCTTACCTTCCACTTCTGACGAGGCGTTCCCAGTAGGCAGGGCCAAGTGCTGGAGACAGAAAGGTGCAGAGATGGGGGAAGGGTCACCTTCCGGCTCTGTGCTCTGGGGTCAGGTGTAACGGCAAGAGGGCAGCGGCCTCTCCGAGCTCCTCACCCGCCCTGCACACCCCGCCCTGTCTCAGAGCTACCTCCTTCCCGGAGCAAGCAAAGCCCAGGCACATCCTGGGCAGGTCGCCCCTCTCTCGGGCCTGAGTCTCCTCTGTTAGAAAAGCACTGGCGGCTGGAGGCTTTGGGCAGCTTCCTGCATCCCCAAGATCGTGCACTCCTGTGGGGTCTCCCTCTTGCCCAGCCCCCAGGCCGGCCTGCTGGCCCGGTACAGCCCGCCTTGGCAGGGTGCCAGAGCCCTGAGGGAGGTGATCAGCTGGTGGGAGCCGAGGAGGGAGCAGGCGGCGCCATGAGCCAGTGCCGGTAATGTTACACCTCCGGCCGGCCCTGCAGCAAGCAGGCTGGCGGCTGGGCTGCTTGGCCCTGTAGGACCGACCAGCCCACCCACTCTGGGCTGGGGCTGGGGATCCCGCGGCAGCAGGGAAGTGCAGTGGGAAGGGAGCTCACTGGCTTTGTCAGGATTTCCCTGCCCAAGCTGGCCCCCAGCCAGACTCGCCCGGCTCCTGGGAAAAGGGCCCTGCTCACTTCCCCAGGCCCTGCACTCAGGACCTCCAGCCACCCACCCAAGCGGGGGAGCAGGACCCTGTCTTACCCCAGCCCACCCAAGAGCCCCAGCGCAGCCCAGAGCCCCAGTGGGGGCAGGGCCTGCCCTACCCACCAGCAGCCTCTTGGGCTGGCTTCCTCTCCACCGGCCAGGTCAGAGGTCCTGGGGGCGCCCGGCTGGTCACGGGGCCTCGACCCTGACCACAAGGCCAGGGAGCCGCCTGGGATTAGCCGACAGATGCTTTCAGCAGAGCCGCTACGGCCCCAGGGGCCAGCCGGGAAACCTTCCGCTCCCTCTGTGGCTCCCCCGCCCCCCAGCTCGGCAGCCCCCTGCGGCTGGGCACGGCCCCTCCTGAGGTCTTCTTCCAGAGGCCGCGGGCCGGCCTGGGCCCTGCGCGGTGCGGGGACATCCTGGGAAGTGCTACTCCTTGGCACGGCTCTGTGACTTCAAGTCCTCTGCCTAAGTGTTCGGGTGAGCAGCTCAAGGGTGCCAGGCCGGAGCGGGAGAAGTTCTTACCTGCTGGGGCACAGTGGGCAGTGCCAGCCCAGCCAGGAGCTGCAGGAAGCAAGTGAGCAGCCGCAAGGCGAGCATCTTCTCAGAAGTCCTGAACCAGCGGGCTGCGAGGGGAGACCACCATGCTCGTCCTCCTGGGGGAGCCCCTGGCACGGGAGGAGAGCGGCGTGAGGCGCGGGCGCGGCGGG